TGGTGAACTTTGCCAGCATCTTATTAATTCCATCATTTTTGCTTAGAAGCTTTTAAATATATTTTCTGATGTCTAACTTGCTCCTATTCTCCTGAGCAGCGATTGTGTTTACAAGTCTTTTGGCAGAACATAGTTTAGATAATCATATCAGTATTTCATCTGTGCTTGTAAGAGGTGGAAGGCTTTTCTGATAATCAATTAAAATATGCTTTAATCCAGTCCAAAACAACTTTCACATCTACCAGTGGCCTGAAAGTTTGCTGCACCTTCACCCTTTAAACACCACACATCCTGCACGTCCACTTTAGCCAGTCCTGGAAGATTACTTAGTTTCCAGGAACTCTCTTGCCTTTAGCCTGAAAAAATGTTTGAAACCGGCTTTAATTAGGGAAAAGGTCTGTGTATCCTCACTTTTCATGTATCTTGCTGAAAGTCCTTGGTACATTGGCAGTTGTGGATTAACAATTGAACTTATGAGTTTGTGCATAGGCAGCTTTTAATTTTTATTTTCTTTCACTCAAGAATCTCATTGTGTTGCACATATTAAGTTTGAGGTAGAGAGGCAAGTATTCTACCCATTTAACATAGTGGAAAATAGGCACGGAGAAGTCATGTGACTTGCTACATCTGTACAGCAAGTCACAATGAGGTCTGGCTGCAGTTACTCCAGGTATTATTTCATGTTGTGGAGGAAGAAGTCTGGCCCAGTAAAGCGTTAGTCCATTTAGTTTCTTCTCAAATCAACTGCCATCATTCAGAGACTGTGGTGGAGGGAAACAACAAAAGTTCAGAGAACTTGCAGAATTAACTTTCACCTAACAAAATTAGTCCTTAGTTTGTGTGTCTGGTGCACTAACCTGCAAAACAAACACATCAAGCACAAAATCTTAAGCAATATGTGCAGTTATATAGCTGAGTTTTAGATTTTGCTTAACAAAACACATTTACAAAAATAATTGACGTGCCTGCAACCTTCATGTCCACAGTGGAAATTAAGCAAGTAGAGCATGTCAGTGCTTGTATGCCTCAACCAGTAAAACATTAACAGCTTTCATCTGGTCTTCTGTTACTTCTCGATCCCTTTATGACAAGGATGGGGAACCATATACGGCCCCCTGCTTTCCTGGATCTGGCCCCTGAGGTTCAGGGGCCTCCTCAGCATGGGCGAGCCTGCACTAGCACTCCAGCCCCTCCACCATCCAACCGCAGGGCTGGAGGGTACAAAATCTGCTAGGCTGGTGTGGGAGGGGAAAGCGGGGAGTGTCTTTCTCCTCCTCAGACGGTGGCCACAGCGTCAGCGAGGGGTTGGGTTTTTTGTTTTTACTTCTCACTTGTGTGCAGGCCCCGACTGATTTTTCTGTGCATCCGTGGCCTCCAGCCTCTGCTTTATGGAGTCTTGGCCTTCAGTATGTTGCTGATTCTCTGATTTTGGTATGAAGCGAATATGATTGATCATATCTTAGCCCAGATTGCAAACTATTCAGATGGTACTGCTGGAGATGGATACATTCTAAGGCTTTTATGTTCTGAGTTGACAAAATAGCCATTGGCAACACTGGGTACTTCTGAGATGTGACTATCAGAGGGCTGATGTATGCTAGACTGGTTGGCAAATATCTGGAAGTGAGAGCATACGCTTAAGAGAGAGCACAATACAGGATTTAAGATGCTGAAGTATATGCAGTGCCTTCTTCACTCTTTACGTTTCTTTGCTGTAACTTCATGTGAAAGGTTGCCTATAAATGTCTGTGTTGTGTTTTTTCTTTTCAGATATCACCTCCTCAAACTCCTCCAGAAATTTGGCAAAGTAAAGCAATTTGACTTTCTCTTCCATAAGTCAGGTGCATTGGAGGGGCAGCCCAGAGGATACTGTTTTGTGAATTTTGAAACTAAACAGGTACATTGGCTTTTTTTTTTTTCCCCTAGTAACATTTGATCCTTGTGACAGGCTGATTTATCTTTATGGTCTAAATTAACTACATCAACTGAAAGATGAGATGGAAGACAATAATGAAGGAAAAAAGAAAGTGCCTGATCACCTTTCAATACATAAACCCCTCAGCATACCCATCCCACCCATATGGTGCAGTCCCCACAAGTAACAGTGGTGGTTTCCCCACTGCCTCCCTGGGGCTGTTTTGCTAAAGCTTTTTGGCGAAAACTGGGATGAGCAAGCCATTAGATTGAGTGCAGAGTGGTCTAATATAGACTGAAGGTGCTTGTTAATAACCAGTATAAATTCTTAGTTTCAAATTATGTAGCATACGAAACCTAGTGCTACCACTGTTATTTCCTCCCGGTTTTTTGCTCTTCTAGCCCCGATGCTTCAGGAAGACACAAACCCCCACCCTTGTACAACTCTCCACCTGTGTAATGCTGCCCATCTGTTGGGAATGTGGGGAAGGAAATATTCCCTCCTGATCCCTGTGGGGCTTATTTTATACTCTAAAGCATGGGTTGACGTTTCGGTTGCCTGTATTATTATGGTCACAAATGGTGTCACAGTTCAACTAGGATTGGATGCAGCTGCAAGGAGCGGCACGGATAAAGTGTCTGTTTTGTGTGGCCTTCCTCTTTTGTTGCTGTATCACCAATCAGGAGGTGGAATAAAGCCATAACATACAGCTCAGTATCATTCCCTGATAGCTCAGGAAGTAACATTGGACCGCTGATGCAGGATAGGGAGGAACTTGGGAAAATAATACAGCCATGAAGGTTAATAGTAGTGGGATCACTGCATAGAAGCATTTTGGGGCAGCAGAATAAGTGTAAGAAGCAGTTGTAATTTGAACTTTAAGGCTTTTTAAAGTAGTGAGCAAGAAATTAACTAACAACAGACTGACTGTCATTTCCTCCCTCCTCCACTATCTTCTGCAATTGAATGGAACCTTTTGGAAACTCATTTTTCAGAGGCCGTGACAGACAAGTTGGGTAGGAAGAAATAGCAGGATCTACTAGAACCTGGCCTGAATCAGCCAATTAATATTAAGGATTCAGGAAAACGGTGATTATATTGCTTCGTCCGTGGTAGGGATGTAAAATCCCATTTAGTCAGTTAACTGGTTAAACGTTATGTTTAACCCGTTAGCCACTTACATGGGGCAGTTGGGAAGCTGCTCCAGCCCAGCTTGGCCACTGGCTAACTCGTAAGCATCACCTAATAAGGTTAATCATTTACATCTCTAGTATGTGGCTGATCTTCATAGTCTATCCCTTTGTCTAATTTTCAAATCTTTGTAATACTAATTATTTAACAGAATAGGTGTAAAACCCATAGTTTAGGCAAGCCTTAGTGAGAGAGATACAAATAATAAATTGCAGGTGTTTCCCATAGGTAACTGAGCAATGTAAACACTGTTCTTTATTGGAAGTTTCTGTAATGTTTTTATTCTGCCATGAGTAAAAGCCTTATGAGTAATCTCTGCAGTAGTTTATAAGGATATAGTAACTTGTATGGGTGCTTAGGGTTCCCAGAAACACTAACTGAACTGTAGCATAGATTGTATGATTGACAGGGATAACTAACGTACATCAATCTCATACATGCAAGAAAGGGTCCTTAGATTTTGATAAAAGATTGAGTTGGTTTATTTAGTTAACTGTCTTTTGGTGCAGGAAGCAGAACGAGCAATCCAATGTCTCAATGGTAAACTGGCCCTCTCCAAAAAGCTGGTGGTGCGGTGGGCACATGCACAAGTAAAGGTAAGCTTTCTACTGCAAACGTTAACTGCCTTATGAGGATGAATAATTTGAGAAAAAAATCCTATCTCTGTGCTATATCAAAAGCAGAGAGAGTTGCATAATTGTCCTCTAACTTTTCATTTAAGCATTCAGAACTTACCTAAGCTTCATGTGTGATCTTATTTTCAGCTTCTACTTTGTTCATACCTGGTATCATTCTGCTACGTGACTGTTGCTGGCCATCTTATTCCTTTCGTATTTTGACCCTTTAGAAATTGTGTGTTAAATGTTTCCTACAGACTGCTTGACTTCTGTCATAAAAATCAGTTATGCCACATAGTAAAGGACAGGTTTGTATCAATTGTATTTATATAATCCCCATATAATTTAGAAAGATGGGAGCTGGTACACAGGAATCCGTCAAAAACAGCATCCTCTCTACCACCCTGTCCCAGGAACTTTAGAAGAAGGTCTTAAAATCTCCATAACAACTTGCCCACAAAAGATTAGCTAATGATGTGCTTTTTGTCTGGAAGTCTGAGGATATAGATCACCCCCAGTACTTTTTGGGGCTGGGTGGGTCAATGATTCTGCATTTACTAGTTTTTCTGTTCTGCTTCCTAAAAGTGGTGGATTCTTTTGTCTGCAGGTGGTAGAGTCTATTACTTCTGATTTTAAAAAGCAAATCACCTTTACCTTTCATTTTGACACATGTTGGTTTTGGTCTGAGGCACGGTGGTAAGGTCTGTTTGCAAATATTGATTGATCAGTACTGATAAATGCAAAGTAATGCACACTGGAAAATGTTATCCCAGCTGTTCCTACAAAATGATGGGATCTAAATTAGCAGTTACCACTCAAGAAAGAAATCTTGGCATCATAGTTGATCTCCAACATCTCCACAATGTGCAGCAGCAGTCAAAAAGGCTAACAGTGTTGGGGAAGCATTTGTTCAATGCTCTAGGGTTGGAGCACCTATGAAAAAAAAATTGTTGGTGCTCAGCAGCCCTGCAGATGAGCTCTTCCACCACCCACCCTCGCAGTCAGCCCCTGCCTCACCCTCCCCACACTTCCCACCAACCAC